GTTTTTGCTTATTCTTCTTCTACTTGCTTCTTGCTGCTTACTTCTTTTTTTGCTTCTTGTTTCTTTTTCTTCTATTTTTTTTTTTTCTTCTTCTTCTTCTTGCTACTTGTTTTTGCTTATTCTTGTCCTGTGTTTTCTAAACACGCTTTTTTGTTTATGCCTTCTCATTAGGCACCCTCATGCCGTTTACAATTTATTTTTTACGTCTTCTCATTAGGCACCCTCATGCCTTTTATAATTTCTTTTTTACGTCTTCTCATTAGGCACCCTCATGCTTTTTACAATTTCCTTTTTTTGCTTTCTCATTAGACACCCTCATGCCCTTTCATACCATCATCATGCCTTTCTATGGCATGAAAAACTATGACTGCGATGTTTATTTTCAGTTTTTCAAAAAACATTTTTCCTATGTCTACCCTAAGCATGGATTTCCCATGCCTTTCCATCGTACAACATATCAGGACTGTTGTGTCATGTTTTTCTTCTTACCCAAAAAATCATTTTTCATTTTTCTTATGCCTACATAGGCATGGATTTCTCATGAGGACTACTCATGTCCCCTTTTTAGAACTTTTTTTTTTTTTAGATCTCATTTTTTGAAAACTTTTGCAAAAATATGACATCAAGAGCGCTCCAATTTTATTTCCCCACTTTTTAAAAATTTCCATTTTCTTTTTCAAAGATCATCACATTTAAGAAATTCAACTTTGAAAATTGGAATCAATAGTTGAAAAATATTTTGACTACTATAGTGTGTCATATGAACTAGACTAGGAAATTAAATAAATAGATTTTAAATGTTTATCAACTTTTTTTCAAAATTTTATAACCTTTATCTTGAATTTTGTTTATGACTTGCCGAATTAAATTTCCATACCAACTTCTTTGGCAACTTGTGATCTCTTTATCTCTTTTTTGACAACCTGGGCTCTCCAATGCCTATATTTTTGGTAACCTGAGCTCTCCAATGCCTATCCTCAACTTGGACTCTCCCCACCAATGCATATCTCTTCGTTTTCTCACAACTTGGGATCCGATTGTTTTTTTTTTTTTTTTCTGTTTTATCACAACCAATACTCTCCACACCAATGCCTATCTTCTTTTTTTCATTTTCCATTTTTTTTACAACTCTATGGGTTTTGGGCCCACCATGCTTCCCTTTAAACAAATTTAATGCCCTCAGCCCTTTTAGACAAATATTCCAAAGGAAAAAATATGAATACCTTTGAATTTTATAAGCATTTTACCTCTAATACTTTTAGTATCGCAATTATGACCCAATTACTTTTCTTTTCTTACTTTTTTCCTTCAATCATAAGTAAACGATTTAAAAACTAAAGTACCATCAGTCAAATTTCTCTCTCTACCTGCCCTCTCTTTACCTACCCTCTTTCTCTTTATTTCTCTACCCGCCCTCACTTTCTCTTTCTACCTACCATTTCGCTCTACCCAAGAGAAGGAAAGGTGGGAAGAGAGAGAGAAGGTAGAGAGAGAAAGAGGGAGGGTAGATAGAGAGTGAAAGAGCGAGAGGGAAGGTAAAGAGAGAAAGAGAGAGAGGGGGCGGGTAGAGAGACATATTTGACAGGGGGTAGTTATAGTTTTTAAAACAATTACTTTTTGATTGAGGGTAAAATCAAGAAAAAATAGTTGATGGGTCATGTGTGTGATATGAAAAGCTTTAGGAGTCGAATGTCTACAAGGTTTATTTGGGAGAATATATTAAGATATGAAAAATAATGTTAGATAAATTATTTAGAATATCTTCAACAATCTTGAGAATAGCAAAATAGTGCGTCCAAATAGAATTTCCATGCCCGCCTCTACATTTTTAATGAAAAAAGAATGCCCCCTTAAAAAATAATTGATTTTTAGTATAAAAACAAGATGAAAAAAATTAAAAAGAAATGTAAACATTTGAGTTGTTTGATAACACCTAGAAGCATTAAAACTGACTATGAAAACAACTAAACTAAAGAAGATATATACCTTCTCTCGATAAAAGATACAGAATTGAGTTTAGGTGTCCTAGATTGAGGCTTGGATCTACCAAGTTAGGAAGGTCGGGCCTAGGGCCCTGACTCGGGGTATGCCCTTGTTTTTGTTTTTTTCATTTGATTTTTTTCATTTATTATTAAAATGCATACTTGTGCGAGCGTCCAGTTTTGTATTGCCAACGATACATGGACGGTATTATGGCTAGTCTGTCACCCAAATCGTAATTTAACATGACCCATTCTCTATCGAACCCCTTTTGACGAGTTTATGCCTACAAACGAAGCAAAGACTATTTTCTCTGCCAAAATTTTTAAATTAAAAAACACACCCATTTGCATCCATCTTAACCATCTTTAAGATGGATGCTTAATGCCTCGGGGTACGCAAATAAAAATGTGTCTCCTGACACATGGAACAATTTCCTATAACAAAAAAAAACAGCAAAATTTGAGAAAGTCTGCTGGAATTATGAATTGTAAATAAGCTTAGGAGCAATTGTGAAATGCTAAAAGATTGCTTAGTCCCAGGGGAGTATATTATCGATTTGCTCACTCCGGAATAACACATGCTAGGCAATAGATTTTAAATTTTTATCAACTTTTTTTAAAATTTTTATAACATTTCTCTTAAATTTTGTTCGTGACCTGCTGAATTAAATTTCCATACCAAATTCTTTGGCAACATGTGATCTCGTTATCTCCTTTTTGACAACCTGGGCTCTCCAATGCCTATATTTTTGGTAACCTGAGCTCTCCAATGCCTATCATCAACTTAGACTTTCCACACCAATGCCTATCTTTTCTTTTTTTTACAACTTGGGATCTGATGCTTTTTTTTTTGGTTCTGTTTTTGTCACAACCTGTGCTCTCTACTCTAATGCTTATCTTCTTCTGGTTTTTTTTCTTTTTTTTTTACAACCTGTGCTCTGTGGGTTATGGGCCCACCATGCTTCCGTTTAACAATCTGGGCTCTCTTCACAACTTGAGCTGAGCTCTGATACCATGTTGAAATTTTATGGATAAGGCATTGATATCATGTTGCAAGTTTTTGGATAAAGCATTGATACCACTGATAATTGAAAGCACGCACTCACTTTCTTTTTTAGAGAGATAAACACAAACACATTACGTAAAATTACATGTTGGTTGCTTCTATAAGTTGCTTATATCTACAACCACATGCACACATCACTTCAATACATGGAGCCCATATATATAAGCGTTTACAATAAAACTACCTACTACTTACGTGTTGGATAACTACCCATTACCTACGGGAAGAGAGAGAACTTCCCACACTATCTTAACTACCCATATATTCTACTTTTACATAGAGATAGAAATAACATCTCACTATCTTAACTACCCATACATTCCACTTTCTTTGTATCATTACTTTAGATCCAAGAAAGGAAAATAAACCCTAAACATCAACACAAATGGGTTGGAAGAGCAAGGAGTTGAAGTGATCAAGTGTTGTACTGCTAGTAACACCGAAGCCATCACCATATTGATACATGAACTCAAAGGATCTTGCAATATTTAAAGCATCCTTCATGAAGGTCTTTGGAAGTGGAGATGGAGTACTGCATTCTTGATGAAGATGCTTCCATATATCATTGATTAAATCCTTAATGTGCTCCCGCGCTTGTTCCTCTGATGCACCAGTCTCTTGCATGTAGCATTGTATTGATTTAAGTACATCTCCTCTTTCTTGTTCATCCTTCATGCACAATAGCAATATACTTTCTCAATTCTTGGATAAAATGAGTTCAAAATGTGCATGAGAGAATTTCTGCGATTTACTAGTTGTAACATTTTCTTTACTTTAGCTAATAAAATCAAATAACGTTCAATTGAACTTCTAAATCAAATGTGGTGCACATACCGTACTTGTTCCCATATCATTGGTAAGTCGTAGAATGATAGAACAGAACCAGACAATCTTTGGACCTTGTTCTAAAAAATCAACAACTTCTTGTGTAATTCTCTCTCCAGAGAGAAAATAACCAGCAATCAAAAAAAGTGGCCCCGCAACTGAAGTATAGGCATTGCTCAAGTACTCATCTAGAGTTGGTTTGTACCCACTGTGAAACCACTTTGCTTCTTTCAAGCATGCCTTGCATAGGCCAGCCCACTGTAACAGGAGAAATATATGCATCAGTAACTTCACAAGGGTAAGTCACATAAAACTTAATGGATATTGAGACCAAGTTAAATAGGAAATGCATACCGCTTTGCTGAGGGATCCGATGATGCAACAGCTCTGTTCCTTTAGACTATCATAGGCCATTTGATTCACAGTATTGTACAAGGCCATGTAACAGATTTTCATGTACTCAGGTAGTGACTCCATGGCTTTGAGGTCCCATCTGTTGATTCAAGGACATAAGAGTATGTAGTTGAATACAAGAGCCACACTGCCCTGCTTTATCCTCCATTTTATTGAGGGATTTGTTGACCTAACTCCTTAGTTTATGACATTTCATGGGTGATTTGCTCACTTACATCCTTGCTTTGTGATGTTTGCAACACTTTTCTAAGAAATAGAGGATTTAAATTCCCTTTAAAGAAAACTAAACTATGACATGGGAGGAATTTTATAATAATATAAGAAGGCTAGTTTAGACCTCATGCATTTAATGGCAACATTGATATGTGAATTCTGCACCATTTCTATGAGAGATACATATGGTCTATGTTATATTAGGGTGAGAGCACTCAATAGAAATGGGGGCATAAAAGCTAACCTATAAAAGGAAACTACGGAAAAATCATTTTGTGAGTATAATATATATAATGGGACAATAACATATCAATCCCTAGGATTTTGATACAAACTTCGGGCTCAATGTATTAATAATGTCCGGTTGATGTTAAGTGGTTGCACTGGAGGACAATTTTGGTTCAATTCAATGACTTTGGTAGAGCATAGTATGGTTCACAATTATAATATGCGCAGATTATGGCTGCAATGAACTGATGGTTTGAATCTAAAGTAAAAATCAAGTTTGGTAAAAAGCCATATGTAACCAATTCTTAATCTGTTTTGGGTGGACAAACTAACTGGTTCCAAATGATTGGATTAGCTAAACGGGGATGGCCAATTTTAATACATGTTTTCAAATTATTATATTCATTTTTCTCCTCTTATTTCAAAAAATTGGTTCAACCGATTCAACTAGTTGTCGGACTGGCTTTGACTAGATCAAAACCCTCACCAGTTCGGTGGCCGATCTAATCCCTATTACATTGACAAAATGTATTGATGTTTATGAACATATGGAATAAGTAATTTAGCGAGTATCATACCTTTCAACTGCTTCAGTGAAGAGCTCTAGTTCCTCTATTGATCCATACACATCATAAACATCATCTATTACTGTTAAAAGAATGTTAGTTTTGGCCATGTCCCTCCTTGACCTGCCATATTGAGGCTCATAAGCTACCCCAGAAGAAACCATGAAACACTCCAAGGTCCGCTCCCTAGCAAAAGGAAGTTTCTCACTCAGCCTTGTGTCTCTCCACCACCTGTTGATAAATACTTCTTATTCACAATTCGGCAATACGTTCTTTTTAATCAATAATGGATGTAAAATTTCTTTATATCACTTTTTGGCAACGGTTAGTTTTGAAGTTTTCAATAAATCAAATTCATGATAGACTCTTATGAATATTGGGCATTTGGAAATTATTAAAATTCAAATAGAAATCAGTCAGAGACCGACAAAACCAATCTTAAAGGACTTCAAAAACTTAATTAAAGAAAAATTGTTCCACAGAGCTCTCGTATTGAAGTTCATATATAAATTTATATCTTCTTGGCAAAATATAAGGTAAATGGTCAAATCATCTTACAAAGTCT